GGAAAGAGTTGGGGTCAGAAGACGTGAGTTCAAATCCCCATGCTTCCTCTAACTACCTAAGTGATCTTGGATAAGTATCATGGATAACAACATACTCTGGTTTGTTCTGAGGATTAAATAACTTAAAACATGAAAGAACCTCAAACAGTGCCTGGCAAATTTAAGAATTACTCATGTGATAGTAGCCATCATCATCATCATTAGTTACTGCTACTTTTTTTTTCTTTCCTTTTCTTTTTGTTTTATACTGCTACTTTTATTTTAACTACTAGTGATACTACCATTTGTGTGGTTTTGAGCAAGTCAGTGAACATCTCTGATCCTTAGTTTCCTCATTTTTATAACAGCTACAAAGAGCTACTGTGCAGATTTTTTTAAATGCAAATATGCACATAAACTGCTTGGGACTGGCAGGTACCCACCAATATGGTAGCTACTGCTGTAATTATTCACTCAACAGACATCAGTGAGCACCCATTCTGTGCTGGGCACTGCACTTCCCATGAATCATCGTGGTGAGACCCAGATCCTGTCTTAAGAGTTTATAATCAAAGTGGAGAGACAAACACTGAACACATTCAGTGCAGAGTTCCAGGAGCCTCAACAGAAGCCGTGAGAAGGGTTCAGTTCTGTTTCTGTGCTTCTCCCACCACAGCCACTGGTTTCCAGCTCTGGGCCAGCAGGGGTGGCATCTACACCAGAAAGCTCCCCAGCTAATCCCAGCATAGAAATCACATCCCTGCCTCCGAACTGCTGCTACCTTCCCGCTTCCTGTGGCTGCTGTTCTCCATTTCCTAAGCCTCACCCAGAGCCCACTAATCCCTAGGAAAGTGAAAACCGCCTCTAATATCTGGAAGGATAGATTATGTGAGTAATTGGGGCTGTTGGGCTCTAAGGTTATAGTGCACTCCGAGATCTCACAGCCAAGTGGCAGACGTGTTTTTACCTTTGCAGAATATCTTCAAGCACAAAAACAAAGGCTGCAGTTACTCCCCAAGGCTGGCAGGAAACTCTATCTGAGCAACAAGAACACAGAGTCTTTCCTCTTTCACCAGGTTCAGTGACAGTGTCTTACTGGGAGACCAAAAAGTGATTCAAACATCAAGCACCCAGGCCCCTTTTTGTGCTGGTGTTGCTTCTTCTGCCCACCCCTGTCATAAAGACTCACAGACGCATTCTGTAATAAGACAGACTGCTCAGAGTATCTTCGACCACACTTGCTAGGGCCTCAGGAACAACTGTGCTGCCCTTTCCTTGAGGCCTGACTCCTTCTAAGGGAAGGATCTGACACATGGAGGGCAGTAGCTTGTGGCAGAGAAACATCAAAAAAACCCGCCAGTATTCAAGGGATCTGACACTGGGAGAAGACCTGCCACTCAAACCCCTTTGACCTTGGCCTTCAATGAGGACCACTTCACTGCTCCAGGCCTCAGTTTTCTCTTCTATAAGATGGCACTCTTGATCAGGTGACCCCTACGTGTCCTTCCAGTTCTCACATTCTAAGAGGTGATGAATCCACCTGCAGGACATCAATGACACTGTTGGCTTAAAAAAGAGCAGCCAATCACTGGGGAATTCTATCAAACATACAAAGAAGAACTTATACCGATCCTTCTCAAACTCTTCCGCAAGACTGAAGAGGAGGGAACACTCCCAAAGTCATTCTATGAAGCCACCATCACCCTGATACCAAAACCAGACAAAGACACCACCAAAAAACAAATTACAGGCCATTATCTTTGATGAATATAGATGCAAAAATCCTCAACAAAATATTAGCAAATGTAATCCAGCAACACATAAAAAGGATCACACCCTATGATCAAGTTGGACTCATCCCAGGGTGACAAGCATGGTTCAACAAACACAAATCAATCTGTGATACACCACATTAACAAAAGAAAAGACAAAAACCACATGATCATCTCAACAGACAAAGAAAAAGCATTTGATAAAATTCAATCTCCATTCATGATAAAAACTCTTACCAAAATGGGTACAGAGGGAACATATCTCAGCATAATAAAAGCTACTATGACAGACCCACAGCCAATATAATACTCAATGGTGAAAAACTGAATGCCTTCTTGCTAAAATCTGGAACAAGACAAGGATGCCCACTCTCACCACTTCTATTCAACATAGTATTGGAAGTCCTAACCACAGCAATCAGACAAGAAAAAGAAATAAAAGGTATCCAACTTGGAAGGTAAGAGGTAAAACTGTCATTATATATATGCAGAAAACCTGAAAGACTCCACACAAAAACTACTAGGACTGATAAACAAATTCAGCAAGGTAGCAGTATACAAGATAAATATACAGAAATTGGTTGCACTTCTTTACACTAACAATGAAATATCAGAAAGGGGAAGTCAAAAAACAATCCCATTTAAAATCACATTAAAAAAAATACTTAGGAATAAACCTGAACAAGGAGGTGAAAGACTTACACACTGAGAACTATAAAACATTGATAAAGGAAACTGAAGATGATTCAAAAAAATGAAAAGATATCCTATGCTCTTGGATTGGAAGAATTAATATTGCTAAAATGGCCATACTACCCAAAACAAGCTACAGATTCAATGCAATCCCTATCAAATTACCCATGGTATTTTTCACAGAACTAGAACAAATAATCCTAAAATTTATACGGAACCACAAAAGACCCAGAATTGCCAAAGCAATCCTGAGGAAAAAGAAGAAGGTGGAGGCATAACCCTCTCATACTTCAAGACAATACTACAAAGCTACAGTAATCAAAACAGAACAGTATTGGCACAAAAACAGACATATGGATCAACGGAACAGAATAAACAACCCAGATGTAAACCCAGACACCTATGGACAATTAATCTCTGACAAAGGAGGCAAGAATATACAATGGGGAAAAGACAGTCTCTTCAGCAAAGTGGTGTTGGGAAAGCTGGACAGCCACATATAAATCAGTGAAGTTAAAACACTCCCTCACACCATACATAAAAATAAACTCAAAATGGCTTAGAGACTTAAATATAAGACACGACACCATAAAACTCCTAGAAGAGAACATGGCCAAAACATTCTCTGACATAAATCATACCAATGTTTTCTTAGGTCAGTCAACCAAGGCAATAGAAATAAAAACGAAAATAAACAAATAGGACCTAATCAAACCTATAAGCTTTTGTACAGCAAATGAAACCATAAACAAAATGAAAAGACAACCTACAGACTGGGAGAAAATATTTGCAAATGATGCAACCAACAAGGGCTTAATTTCCAAAATATATATAAACAGCTCTTACCACTCAGTAACAACAACAAAAAACCCAATCCAAAAATAGGTACAAAGGGGCTTCCCCGGTGGCGCAGTGGTTGAGAGTCCACCTGCCAATGCAGGGGACACGGGTTCGTGCTCCGGTCTGGGAAGATCCCACATGCCGCGAGCGGCTGGGCCCATGAGCCATGGCCGCTGAGCCTGCACGTCCGGAGCCTGTGCTCCGCAATGGGAGAGGCCACAACAGTGAGAGGCCAGTGTACCGCAAAAAAAAAAAAAAAAGAAAAAAAAGGCAGAAGACCAAAATAGACATTTCTCCAAAGAAGACACACAGGTGGCCAATAGGCACATTAAGAGATGCTCAACATCGTTAATTATTAGAGAAATGCAAATCAAACTACAGTGAGGTATCACTTCACACCAGTCAGAATGGCTATCATCAAAAAGTAATAATACAAATAATAAATGCTGGAGAAAGTGTGAAAAAAGGGAACCCTCCTACACTGTTGGTGGGAATGTAAATGCTGCAGCCACTATGGAAAACAGTATGAAGATTCCTTAAAAATCTAAAAACAGAGTCATCATATGATCCAGCAATCCCACTCCTGGCACATATCCGGAGAGAACTCTAATCTGAAAAGATACATGCACCCTCAATGTTCACAGCAGCACTATTTACAGTAGCCAAGAAATGGAAGCAACCTAAATGTCCATTGACAGGGGAACAGATAAAGAAGATGTGATATATACACACACACACAATACATACACACTGGAATATTACTCAGCCATAAACAAAGAAAGAAATAATGCCATTTGCAGCAATGTGGATGAATTTAGAGATTATCATACTAAGTGAAGTCAGACAGAGAAAGAGAAAAATCATATGATACCACTTATATATGGAATCTAAAAAAATGATACAAATGAACTTATTTATAAAACAGAAACAGACTTACAGACGTAGAAAACAAACTTATGGTTACCAAAAAGGAAAGGGAGTGCACAGAGGGATAAATTAAAAGTTTGGGATTAGCAAATACAAACTACTACACACAAAATAGATAAACAACAAGGTCCTACTGTATATCACAGGGAACTATACTCAATCTCTTGTAATAAACTATAATGGAAAAGAATCTGAAAATATATATAGGTACGTGTGTGTGTGTGTGTGTGTGTGTGTGTGTGTGTGTGTATGAGAATCACTTTGCTGTACACCAGAAACTAACACAACACCATAAAGCAACTATACTTCAATTTAAAAAAAAAAAAAAAAAAAAGAGCAGCCAAGTTCCTCGCCAAGTTCCTCACCTCTCCTATCCAATTTACTCTGTGATCCACCCATGGCTTCCCAATGCCTACATGATAAAGTCCCAGCTCCCTGGCATGGCATCCAAGGCCTCCCATGATCCCAAATCTCTGCTCTCTCAGTCTCCCCTCTCCCTTCTTTCTAACGTCACTGAACACATTAGTCCTCTAGAACCTATCTGCAGCCCCTGCTTTGCCTGCTGCTTTGCCCTGCACATGCGTGCTGGGAATGCCCTTATCTAACTGGCAACCTCCTGTTCACTGTCCAACACTTGGCTCAAGATCCACCTCCTCTGTGTAGTCTTCCATGCTATGTGACTCAGGGATCTTGACCATCTCCTTCTCTGCAACCCCAGGGTCTAACTGTGTGTGTGTGTGTGTGTGTGTGTGTGTGTGTTGATTTAAACACCCATCACACGCTACAGTGGCCTCATTTACCTGTAACATTTTCTGTATTAGGCTGGAAACCCTTGGGGCGCAGAGACTGAGTCTCATCCATTTCTGACTCTATGCATCTAACATAGTTCTTGGCCCACAGAAGATGTGCCAGGATCATCTCTCAGACTTATAAACCACTGACAGGGGAACTTAAAACATTTTATCAAAAGGAAGAAAGAAGTAAATTTCTGCTTACTAATTCTAAACATGCCTCTTTCGGCAGCTTAACTGAGATACTGAGAAAAGGTGTATGTCTTTTCTATAGAAAATGCTGACACCTGAGGAGTGGGATGTGAGTCAGAGACAGACTTTTAACAGAACTTAATGAAAAACACCTAGAAACTGTGGGGGAAAGACCACTTTCTTCAAAGCACCCAGCATCTTTTGTTTGATCTGGGTCTCAGAGCATCACAAGGGGATGCAGCCTGGCTCTGGCTTGAAGAGACTGACCTCGGGGCTTGGGCTGGCAGCAGCGCTTCAGCACAAAGCTGATGTTGTCCGTGCGCAGGATCTGCTTCTTCAAGTGGCTCATAAGGTCTCCAAGGCTGGGGAAGCTTCGGTCTGAGCCATGCAGGCTGTAGCGGCCCTTCTGCACCTCAATCTGAAAGTTCTTGAACTGCTTCTGGACACCCAGCAACTGCCATTCAAGAAAATAATCAGAAAAGATTTGTTTTAAAAAGGGCTCAAACAAATCTCTCATAGGTATGTATGATGTTAACAACAGGAGAAGCTGGATAGAGGGCATACAGAAACTCTGTACTATCTCTGTAATGTTTCTGTAAAACTAAAATTATTCCCTAATAAAAAAGCTTATTATAAGTAAATGAAATAATAACTAATAAAGGAGATCCAGGAGAAGGCACTGATAAAAGGGAGTTAACACCAAGGAGACAACCTAACAGCAGTGATTTCTACAAGAGAATCACTTCATTTTGGCACTTAAGATGAACTTCATGAAAACACCAACCTCACAGGACTGTGGCTAAGATTATATGGCAGGGCCCGTGTAAAAAAGTTAGTAAGCACTTTTATAAAGGTTAGCACATATTATGCATGAAATAATAAGTACTACAGAAAAATTTATCCAGGAACTCCCTCAAACTGAGCTCTTCCAAGAACCTCCTGGGAGGTGGTACACAGCTGTCTGGTCTGGTTTCCGAGCTATATGGTGCCCCATAGAGGAAGTATAAGCAAAAGTTTTCCTTCATGACAACTTCTGTACAAAGGGAACTATTTTAGTATTTTAGTGGTTAAGAATGAAGGCCAGGGGCTTCCCTGGTGGTGCAGTGGTTGGGAGTCTGCCTGCCAATGCAGGGGACACGGGTTCGTGCCCCGGTCCGGGAAGATCCCACATGCTGCGGAGTGGCTAGGCCCGTGAGCCATGGCTGCTGAGCCTGCGTTCCGCAACAGGAGAGGCCACAACAGTGAGAGGCCTGCGTACCGCAAAAAAAAAAAAAAAAAAAAAAAAAAAAAAAAAAAAAAGAATGAGGGCTAGAAAGATCTACTCACGCTGTAAACTAGGACAAGATATTTAAAATCTTAATGCCTCAGTTTCTTCATCTGTTCAATGGGGATAATACTACCTTATCTCATGGGGCTAGTGTAAGGCTTAAATGAGAATATATAGGAAAAGAGCTTAGCACAGTGTCTGGTGAGCTAAAATAAATAGTAGGAGTAATCCTATCTATGGTTCCTGTTTTCCCCAGGTAATCTGACACCAGGTAGACTATGTTACTGAATCACTGACATTCTCGGTACAGCACAGGTCAATTCCACCTCAAAAGGTGGCTGGGCCGTCTCATGCTCACATCTGTGATAAAAATATTAAATTTCCTCCAAAGACTGACGGAACGCAGAAGAAAGGGATCCTGCCAAGGCAACAGGCCTGCCAAGTGCTGAGCCACTGCATCCGTTATCAGCCACAAGGCTGAGCTGTACAGGAGCACCCCAGGCGAGCAGTGGCCCCTACAGACTTCACCCATGACTCTTGGCAGCACTGGGTTCCTTCTGCCATTTCCTCTTCCACTCTTGACTGAGTCCAGCCCCAGAGATTCTCTAGTACTTTTCCTTCCGGTACCTGAGGTCTGCAATATGCTAACATGCTGACTCTCATCTTGCAGCCCCCTCCCCTGCCCCAATTCTCCTAGTTCATGGTGAACCCATGCAACACTACTGTATTTATTTGGACTAATTCTGTAAAACTCTTGTCTTTTAAAATAGTCCAGGACTTCCCTGGTGGCGCAGTGGTTAGGAACCCATCTGCCAATGCAGGTGACACAGGTTCGATCCCTGGTCTGGGAAGATCCCACATGCCACAGAGCAAGTAGGCCCGTGTGCCACAACTACTGAGCCTGTGCTCTATGGCCCGTGAGCCACAGCTACTGATCCCACGTGCCACAACTACTGAAGCCCGCACGCCTAGAGCCCATGCTCCACAACAAGAGAAGCCGCCACAATGAGAAGCCCGTGCACCGCAGCGAAGAACAGCCCCCGCTCACCACAACTGGAGAGGGTCCACACGTAGCAGCGAAGACCCAATGCAGCCAAAATAAATAAATAAATAAATAAATAGATTGATTAATTTAAAAAAATAGTCCATTTCTTGTGTTTTAAAAAATTACATGAATAACAAAGCACTGTGGTCTAGTGAGGTCAAGTTTGCAATTTGGCTTCAGGATTTCTCTCACATCATTCCCAGCTTCCAACCACACCTGAGTCACTAACAGACATCTTGTCAAAACACATGTCAGTAATTCGTCTGTTAAAACGTCTGCACCTACCATCTGGGGACAACTGTGTTAGGCCAGGTTGCCAACAGGCCTCATTGGTGCTAGTCTGTACCAGTGAATGCCCAGACACAGCTCTGGGTCTGTGATGGTCCTGGCACCGAGTGTTTTGTGTGAGCTGGTTTTCTGGTTGTGTTCCACCTTCCACAGCACAGGGACCCCTGCCATGGGTCCCTTGCAGGAAGAAAGAAAGGGCCATAACGATGAAAGGGTATGGGGTCTGGCTGCCTGGGAAGGGGCTCCTTTTGAGGCGCAGGCTGTCCCTGTCAGAACTGCCAGGGATTTTCTCAGAGCCCCAGGCTTTTCTACCCCCATCCCCCAAGGGTGGTCCTCCTGGATGAGAGGTTGCACTGATACCCTGTGGCCACATGGGTTGGCACCAGCCAGTGTCTTGACTGACCTCAGACTTTTCAAAGCAAGTGACGGTCATGAGGATGTTGTCGAAGTCGGTGCAGCTCCACCGCAGCACGTACATTCCCTCCTCACTTCCTTCTTGCCGCAACTTATTGATGGCATATTCTGTGCTACAGGGAGAGAGGCAAAGAGAGAAAGCTCACCCCAAACAGAAGCACTCTAAACCCCATGGGATGTCCACTTCCTTGAGCTGCCTCAAGTCTGACGGCCGCTCACAGTACCTGTCCTGGGTCCTACTGTCGTCTCTGATATGAGACAGAGAGCTTGTCTCATATGCTTGTCCCTGACTTCCCCACACACGCCGCTTCCACTCTAGCCAGAAGAGCTCCCCACAAGGCTGAGGATGCAGAGCTGCCCGTGATGCAGTAGTAGGGGTCTCTCCCCCCATCCCAGGCAGCACAACTAGAACAGAAGCCTCAGGATAGCACGGACTTGGAATTGTTCTGTTTATTGCTGCATCCCCAATAACCAGAGCATGCCTGGCTCACAGTTCTCAATAAATAAGTGAACAATTGAATAATAAACACTGAATAAAGAAATCAAGGATTAGAAAGCTGTGAGTAGAGAGCCTGCCTACCCTACACTCCCGTGTCCCCAGGACTAACAAGTCCGGCACACAGAGGGCAATGAGCAAACAGCTGCTAAATAAATCCACATATGAGGTTACTACACCCAGTGAGTTCTGTTCACTAAGTGTTCGTAAAAGAGGGCTGTGTGGTCAGCACGTGTTAGAGAATGGCAGAGACCAATGGCTCCCTGGCGGGTGGGCAGTGAGGGTAGGCAGACAAGAAACAAACGGACATGTACATAAACTTAATATGTCAGGAAGTAATAAACGCCACTGAAGACAAATAGAGCAGAGTGAAGGAGTCAGGGAGTGCGGGGAGCAGAGGGGGAAGAGGTGTCGTTGTTTTATATAAAGTGCTTGGGGAAGACTTCACCAGTTAGGTGGTATCTGAGTGACACCTGAAGAACTGGTGACTGCTGAGATTCTGGAGGGAGGGTTTTCCAGACCAAGGGGAAAAGCAAGTGCCAAGGCCCTGAAGCCTAACTATAGTTGGCATATTTGAGGGACATGCTTTATTATAAAGCTCAACCCTTGCTCTGCAATTCCTTGGTGTGTCTGTCTCCCTGTGAGTCTCTTCAGGCCAGGGACCACACCACTGACAAACTGCCTGTCCACAAGGCAACTGGGATCGGGAAGAAGGTGGGAACCGCTTCACGTGAAAGGTGGCTGACAAGCTGCTTCCACAGATATATTTCAGTCTGGAAGAGAGACTCAGAAGAAACACAGCAGCTGTTTTCCTGTGCCTGAAGGATGGTCACACGCAAGAGGAAGCAAATGAATCCCTGTTGCTTCAAAAGGCAGAACTCAGATGAGTAGACAGAGTTACAGGGAGGCAGACTTCAACTCCCTATGAGGAAGGTACGCATGTCTGTAACTGTCAGAGCTATAAGCTACTCGCTGCCAAGTGAAGCACTAAGTACCCCATCACCGGAGGTGTTTGAGATGCAGGTGGGACAAGATACCCAGCAAAGCCCCTCCCAGCTCTAAGGCTTGGTCACCTTCACTGGGCCTTCTGGCACTGGAGGACACGCTGACTCGGGATTCTGTTACTACACCGTCTGCTGTCGAGACCTGTGCCCTGTCTTTCTTGAATCACCCAGAGCATCTGGCACAGTAAGGGGCTAGGAAGTGTAGCACTTCTTGGTCAGCTGTGGAGAAGTGAGGGGTTCAACTATGAGGACACCCAAGGAAGGGAGAGGAAGTGAGGGGCTGCTGCAAGGACCAAGGTAAGAAATGACAGGAAGGCCTGACCAGGACAGCAGGGATGGAAAAGGGCACCAAGTAAGTATTCAGCATAAATGCCTGATGACGCCCATGCCTGAGAAGGACACGCTCCCCATCACTAACACGTGGGTTCTTTTCACACCAAAGGCAACTGAAAACGTTTTCGAACCAACCAGATTGGACCGTGACAGCCATTCTGTATGTTGTGGACGATCAACGGGGGAGCCACGTCTGTGCAGAGGTAATGATGGGCATCTGCTGTGAGCCGGAAGTAGCCGTCCACGAGGGACACAAAGGACAAGGCCTCCTCATGGGAAGAGAGCTTCAGTTCCTGGCGAGAGAGTAGAAATGCCCATGGTTACATCACGTGCCTGCCATCTTAAGCAGATGACTCTCTGGGGAGGTACACAGTGAGAAGATATTTAACACAATGAAGAATGTACAACCCCAAAGGGAAGCTCTTTTTTTTTTTTTAATTCTTTTTTTTTTAAAAACCCCACATTTGTTTATTTATTTATTTTTTTGGCTGTCTTGGGTCTTCGTTTCTGTGCAAGGGCTTTCTCTAGCTGTGGCAAGCGGGGGCCACTCTTCATCGTGGTGCGTGGGCCTCTCACTATCACAGCCTCTCTTGTTGCGGAGCATAGGCTCCAGACGCGCAGGCTCAGTAGTTGTGGCTCACGGGCCTAGCTGCTCCGCGGCATGTGGGATCTTCCCAGACCAGGGCTCGAACCCGTGTCCCCTGCATTGGCGGGCAGATTCTCAACCACTGCGCCACCAGGGAAGCCCGGGAAGCTCTTTTTGTCAATAGTAACTGCACCCCTTGCAGTTACATATAACTCTGTT